ATCAGATGCATGAAGGTGGATCATCTACTACAGGAGAACTGTCAAGAAAAACCTGTGGGGTCACTCAATATGCAGGAATTGAAACCTATAAAGCAGCAAGTAACAGATCAAGGAAACGCTAAAAGTATAGACTCTGTGGACAGTACCCCTGTTGAAAACCAATCTTCGGATATCTTTTTGAAAGAGATGAACAAAGAGAACTTGCCCCAAATCTTATCAGAACCCAAGAGGATGCCAGATCCTGAATCATACACCATAACTAAGACGAAGACTAACTCTCATAATCCAATCAAGGGAAGTTTGGCTCCTAAACAAGCCATGGGCAAAAGTTCAGTGAATAGTGATGTTCTTAAAGACAGAGTTAATAAGCAACTTGTTGGAGAAACACAAATCAGGACTCTACCAGTAAAGTCACAGCAGTTGTCCAAAGGAGCAGGTCCTATAAGACCAGGGGAAAAACACTCAAGGACAGTTCCCTCTCACCTTATTTCAAACCTTTAATAGGACTCAAGTGTCAAAGAAACCAGTGGTCAAGGACATAAAGGTTAGTAGAAGTAAATACAAAGGACTAAATAAACTAAGTTACAGTCATACCTTGTTAATGAACAGAATGTAAAACCTTCTAAACCCAGGATATACCCCAATTTTCTTCAGAGTGAGTATGATAACAAACATCCAAATGTGAAGGAAAATCGGAAATCCACTCAACCTTGTTTTAGACCTCCACCACCATGTGTACTTCAGAGATCAAAAGCCATAGCCAGAGGTCTCATCTGACAACTGCCAACTTTAATTCAGTTATTCCAAGCACCCCAAGCATTAGAGCAGATGGAACCAATGGTAATAAATACAACAACTTTCAACAAAAAGCACAGACTTTGTACTCCAAGTTGAAAAAGACTGTTCCTCAGAATCATTTTCTGAATAAGACAGCTCCCAAAACACAAGCTGGTCGCATAACCATAAATAGGAAAGGAGTCCTAAATGAAACTCAAACTAATCCAGATATGAAAAAGAAGCTAACAGCAGAAGATCGAAGGAAACAACTAGAAGAATGGCAGAAATCTAAAGGGAAAATTTAAAAATGGCCTCCTATGGAACTTAAAAAAAAAAGAAAAATAATAGAGGAAATGAATATTTCATTCTGGAAGAGCATTGAAAAAGAGGAGGAGGAAAAGAAAGCCCAACTTAAACTGTCCAACAAAATTAACAACACTCTGAGTGAATGTCTACAGCTCATTGAAGGGGGTGTATCTTCTAATGAAATATTTACCATATTGTTCAGCATTCCTGAAACTGAAAAATCTGCTAAATTCTGGATCTGAAAAGCAAAGTTGTTGGCACATAAAGGCAGCTTTAATGTTAATGGACTATATGAAGAAACCATTAAAAATGGAGCAACACCAATACAAGAATTGCAAGAAGCTGTTCTTAATATTTTGCAAGACTTGAACAGAAATGAGGAAGAAATAAGCTCTGACTGTGTAGTTGCTGAAACTAATAAAACATCAGTAGAAGAGCTAGTCATGAAGATGGTATCTGAAAAGCCTTGTCTTTCTCCAAAAGCGAGGGAATAGGTTGTAGTAGTACCCCAGACAACCAAGGTAGAACCGCAGAATCATCCTGGTATCAAATTACAGATTACCTCAATCCCAAACTTAAGTGGAATGCCGGAAGTGCAAGACATGAAGCTCATCACTCTTGTGCAGCATTCAGCAAGGATTGAGCAGGCAGTGTCCCGCTACCCAGAAATGCTGAAGAAACATGATTTAGTTGTGGCATCTCTTGATGAGCTATTAGAAGTACAAGAAACAGAGTGTTTCATATTTTGTAAAAATGAGGCTTTGCCTATAACATTAGGGTTTCAAATTCTTGAATCATAATGTTTTGATACTTCTTAAAAAATAAAATAGAAGTGTTTCCAAGCCTCTGTGAGATAAGAAATACCCTTGTACAGATAACCTCAAAAAATATGTATCACGGAGGCATCATGGATGTAGATTATGGTCTAAGACCCTAGGAAGCAATTCTCTGAACTTATTCTCAAATTTTATATCCCCTTGCAAAGTCTTGTTTGTGTATTTAAAACTGTAGATTGCCATAGTTTTACAGGATATAAATTTCAAACTATTCAATATGTATCCCGTAAGTATGATTTAAAAAAATGAGTTTATTGGGAACCAGCAGTTAGCGTAATGGCTATGTCGCTGGACTCCCCCGTAGTCAACCGCGGTTCGTGTCCCGGACCCGGTGGCTTAAAACTCACGCCGGGCGCGTGTGCGTGCGTGCCCAAGATCCCGAGAGGAGAATGGAGGAAAAGGGATTGTGGCGTGACCATTCCCCCTGGGGGGTGATTTCTCGCTTTCTGTCTCTATGTCTCTCTCTGTCTGTCTGGCAAGCGCACGCGCCCTACAGTGAAAATCTCTCAAAAAAAAAAAAGTTTATTAATCTGCTTTAGTCTAGCATAGTCTTTTTTTTTTGCATCTGAAAGCTCATCCCCCAATATGATGTAC